TCTTCATTTCCCAACCAATGTGGGAGAATGAATAATGTTGATAATTAATTTAATTCTAAATTAAATTAATAATCAAATCAATCACAATGCAACAAGTGTCAAGGGGAGAGAGAGAGTTAGGTGAGGACCATGAACCTTGGGGGGACCATTGCCTTCCCCCCCAAGGCATGCTCCTAGTCTTTGGTCCCCACTCACCTCAAACCGCCACCAAGCATGCTGGGTTGGCAGCCAGCTAGCACCAGCCAGCAAACCCCGCATCACACCAACCACCATATGCGTGTTGTGCTGGGCGATGCTTGTGTCGTTGTTGCGTGCTAGTGCTAGGCGCTGCTAGCTGCTAGCGCTGGCTTGGCACTCACACTCGCACGCAAGTCCCGGCTAACGCGCACACCTATGCAAGGCCCAGCATGCGTGCTGCTAGCGAGCCACGCATGCTGGATGGCTTAATGCTTGGCGATGATGCTGGGTATACACGCAAGTGCCCAGCACTGCGATGGTGCTATGTTGCGTGCTGCGATGGTACGACAGGCCTATGCACAAGCACACGCACACACGCACAGGCCCAGCCATGCGATAATGCTGTGCTTGTGTTGCGATGGTGCGATGGGCTGCGATAGTGCCTAGGCTCCTATGCACGCATGCTGGGGTGATGTTGTGCTATGTGAAGGCATGCAGAAACGTACATGGTGCTGCGATGGGTAGCCTAGTGCGCCTAGCACTCATGGCTCGCCTAGCACACCATGGTGCGCCTAGCACACACATGGTGCGCCTAGGCCTGCGATGAGCTAGTCTAACCTAGCACTTCACATGGTAGGCCAATGTGATGCTACGGCTATGCTCGCACTTGTTGCTTGTGATTTGCGACGCTCGGTCTCGACGCCCTAGGCTCGATATTCGACCTCTGTATTCGTAAAACTCCGTCAACTCATTAAATCCTTTGGATTAATTCGTCATCTCGGATCGGTTGTTCGATTGGGTTCGACGCGAAGGGTTCAGTTGAGATTTAGTTGTAATATTAATTATACCTTAATATTACCTATCGGAAGCGACCTCCACCTAGGCATTCCGATCACTTAAACTTACTGAAGAATTAGCTCTGTAATAATTCTAAACCCTTTATCAAAATAATAAACTTGTTGGAAGGACACCATTCCTTTCAAAGTTTGCCAAAGAAGAGTGTAGCTAAGGAGAGTTCACATGATATTTTGGTTGATGAGGAGGGAGATGGAGATCCTTAGGGTGCGAAAGTTGCTCAGAAACCTTGTGAGAAGAAGGTTGAAAATGAAGCATTGAAAGTTATGCATCCCTACCCCTAAAATTTTATGATGCATAAAATGAATGAGCAATTTAGGAAGTTCATTCAGATTCTTAGACAAATTCACCCTTCACTTTCTTTCACCGAGGTTATCCAACAAATGCCTAATTATGCCAAGTTTCTCAAGGAAGTAATATCACCCTTCAATTAGCCGATCGATCGACCAAATTTCCAAAGGGTAAGATAGAGGATGGTCCTTTAAGGGTGGGAAATTTGTAATTCCTGTGATTTTAGTGGTTTTAGATATGGATGAGGATGCAAACATTCCTACAATCCTTGGTCGACCTTTCCTTGCAACTTCAGGTGCCATGATTGATGTAAAGAATCCCAAAATCTCACTTATAGTTGGTGAAGAAGTCATTGAAATTGATTTGAATGATAGCATGAAATTTCCTTATTCTTCACTTGAGAATTGCATGAGAGTTGAAACTAATTAATCATATTGTGAATTCCATGCATAAGCACTTACTTAAATCTAATGATCTACTTGAGTGTGTATTGTTGAACAAGGAAAAGATAGGTGATTAAGACAAGGAGATGGCATTCTATGAAGCAATCCTTAAAGAAAGTTTGGAAGAAAATGACGATCAAGTTTGCATGGAGTAGACAACTGATTGTGTCTCTCCAAAAACCAAACCCAGTGATGAGTACCTCTCACAATCTGATTTACGAGTTCGGTAAAGAGTTGAAAAGGCTCGTGAAGTTTCCTTAAGCCTTGACCATACCCCTAACCTTTCCTGAATGCTTTTAATGAAAAATCATTTATTTCATGTCCTTAAACCCAAAATTATTCATTTTGTGTCCTCAAAAACATTCATTTCGTGTCCAAATCTTAAAAATGTCCAAACCAGAATATTTATGTCCATAATCTTAGTCTATATGTTGTTTAGTTGGATGTGGCTTGAAATGAACTTTCAAACGATATATTATAAGCCCAAATCCGACATAAAACGAGTAAGTTATGACCAAAATATTAAACTAAGCCCAAACCAAGCCTAGGTCCACCTTACCTACGATCCAATGTGAAAGGAATAGTGTCCTTCCAAAAAGTGTATTATTCAGATATAGGGTTCGGAATTATTAGAAAGCTAATTCTTCAGTGAGGTTAAGTGAACGGAATGCTTAGGTGGAGGCCGCTTCCCATCAGTAATATTGATGTATAAGTCATTAGAGAATTACGAACAAAGACGTCGGATATGGAGCTTATAGCGTCAAAACCGAGCGTCGTAAGTCGAGTCGAATTGGAACGCGACAAGACAAGAAATCAAGCAAGCGACAAGTACGAGCTAAGTCGTAGCCTCGCATGGGCTTAGCCATGCGATTGCTAGGCTAGCTTAGGCCACCGCATGCATCACAAGGCATGCCGCAAGCCAAACATGCATATGCGTGCTAGGCTTGCTGGCCGAGCATGCTAGAGGGGCTGGTACACCTGGCCGCACGCATGCTAGCAGCTGGCGCGTGCTAGCTTGCTAGTATGCTGGGCCACACACCATGCCGAGCTTGCTCGCAGCGCATGTATGCTAGCATCGCAAGCTATTAGCGATGGCTAGCTAGTTGGTGCAGCATGGCCAGCATTGTTGGCGCGCTAGGCATGCTAGCATGCTAATCCCTTGTACATAGCAGCACCAGGCGCAGCATCGCAAGGCCAGCAGCACGCAAGAGCTTGCTGGTCCTCGCAAGCACGACTATACAATTATTGGATTTATACGAACGAACAAAAAAAAACAGCTTGTTCTGTTAGGTTCTTAGCTGCTTTTCGTCTCCTTCGCCTCTTTCATTTTAAAAAGTTTTCTTTTACTTTAGCTTTTCGTCTCCTTAATAGCTGGAAGTTCTCCAAAAGTGTGAAAAGCTGGAGGACTTTGTACCATCCATTCCAGTGTGGTTGAATTCTCTTCAACAACCCAAGGACTTGGAGCACAGTACTCCCACATTTATACCATAGGAACTAGTATAGAAGAGAGGTCTTTCCTTTACGTCGTAAAGAGAAGTAGTTAAGGCCAAAGCCTCTTCTTGAAGAAAGGGATCCGATCCACTCTCATAATCTTGGAGCTCCACTCAAAGAGTAATAGGATGTCATGCACATTATACATTGTTAGCTCAGCCTCAAGTGCAATTTGTGATGCCATAGAAGTGACATCTACCCATTTTTTCATTGCAGGATCATCTTTTGGCCCTTCTTTTGGATTGATTCTGACCAAAATAAAGCAACATGGAAACAATAATTTAATCTATGGAACGCTTGGTATTTTTATTTGACCATATTAATTGAAACTTTGTCTAACTAATAAGCACATACAAAATAATGTCTTACTAATATTTCCTAACTCATAAAACCACAAAATAATGTCTCACTATTTGAATCTTTGTCTAACTGTTGTACACGGAACTGCTAAAATAAAGAAGGAACGAAGTTACCGGGAATGAGACTGAGTCGCGGACTATGTCGCTCTCTTTAGAACATTCAAGGTACTGCCTTTGATTTGTGCAAGCAGCTCTAAAGTAACCGGATGTCCCCAGGATAAATCAATCTCTCGTAGCAAAAGGATATACCGATGGATTTGCACGGAACCGCCGGACAACTAAAGACTGCACTAAAATAATAATGCTCGAATATTTCTGTAAAACGTTTTATGTAAAATCAGAACAATGTAAAACGTTTTCTGTAAAATGTTTTTGTGAGTTGGTTTTTGTGTTTTTGTATGTATCAAACGGTGAGGGAGAGCCTCAAATTTATAGTGGGTTGTGTAATGTACCTGGACAGTTTTAATCAAGTAATTAACGCACATAATCAAGGCCTTAATTCACGTTAATTAGCTGTTGCAGAACAGACAAAAATCATTGCAATAACCGTTACGGAACAAATAAAAACAGTAACAGTTAAGAACTAATTATGAAATCAGTTACAATATCAAGGAATTAATCCTTGTTCAAAAATATAAATCTGTTTAAGAAATCCAACCCAACCTGGCCCGACCCGGTTCAGTTCGGCGCGCGTGTGTGTGTTAGATTGGTTTGGAAGGTGAGTCCTTCCTCTCCACAAAATGTGGGTAGCCCAAGGGCCACACCCCTTTAGGTGACACACACCTATATAAACCAAGCAACACTCTTATTTCCCACCAATGTGGGACTTTACCATTTTCACAAATTCACACTTAAAACAACTTTGTTCCAACAATGCCCAACTTGAATTTTTGAAAATATTTTCGAGCAGAATCCTTACATATATAGGTTGTGCATAAACAGAAGTGTTTTTCAACTTGAACTTCTGCGTAGTGAATACGATTCAGATTTAACAAGGGTAACTTGAAGTTTTGAACCCTATCTCTGACAACGTACCACACACTACCTATTCTCGGTGTTTGTCATAGACCCGTGCTATTACGGCCATGCACGTCTATCCCAGTATAGTGAACGCTCTAGAAATGCTGCCACACATTTCATAGGAAGCGGCCTCACTTCCACATTCACATAGGTGAATCTATCAAGAGTACTCCTGTAGCTAGGTACTCCACTCCAAATGGAGTATAGACTTCATTAAGAGTTCCTATTAACTCATCCTTGATCGCTTCAGGAATTTATATCTTTTGAACATAATCAACTCATATCACTCCATAACTTGTTATTACCCATTGAACCTATTTCTTGGGATCTCCAGTCTATAGGTTGGGTTACCATCATGTGTGACTCATTTTGATGGAAATAGTCCCATTTTCTTAGAAAAATTATGGACTTTCTCTCTAGCTAATCCTTTCGTCAAAGGATCAGCCAAATTATTCTCAGTGCGTACATGATCTACTCTCACAGCTCCAATAGAGAGATATTCTCTTACAGTGTTGTGCTTACGACGTATCTGTCGTCTCTTACCGTTGTAATAACGGTTCGGAACTTTTGCAATAGCCGCGGTACTATCGCAATGGATCAAGACAGCCGGTAATGGTTTTTCCCACAAGGGAATCTCACCTAGCAGGTCTCTTAACCAACTTGCTTCTTCACTAGCTGTAGCTAGTGCCATCATCTCTGACTCCATGGTGGACTGAGCCAAAATAGTCTGTTTCTTAGACTTCCAAGATACAGCTCCACCGCAATAGAGAAAATATATCCACTAGTAGCCTTAGAGTCATCTGATAAGGTGTTCCAGTCGGCATCACTATAGCCTTCTAGTACAGCTGGAAACCTCTCATAATGTAATCCTAGGTTCATGGTCCTCTTAAGGTATCTCATGACCCTTTCAATAGCATGCCAATGCTCAATACCAGGACAACTAGTAAACCTGCCTAATAATCCCACGACATAGGCAATGTCGAGTCTAGTACAATCAGTGGCATACCGAAGGCTGTCAATGACGCTTGCATAATCAGATTGCCTAACGACTTCACCAGTGTTCTTAAATAACTTTACGCTGGGATCATAAGGTGTACTAGCAGGTTTACAGTTAAAGTAACCATATTTCTTTCGGATTTTCTCAATGTAATGAGACTGATCCAAAGAAACTCCATTTTCAGTCCTAGTAATCTTAAACCCAAGGATTACATTAGCCTCTCCTAGATCTTTCATATCAAACTCAGCATTCAGCAATAGCTTTACATTATTCACAGCGTGAATATTCGAGCCAAAAATTAACAAGTCATCCACATGCAGACAAATTGTAGTGCAAATGTCATTCTCAAATTTTACATATATGCATTTGTCACTACCATTTATCTTAAAACCATGTGAAATGACTAAGTTATCAAATTTTTCATGCCATTGTTTAGGTGCTTGGTTGAGACCATAAAGAGACTTATCTAATTTACATACCAGATGCTCTTTTCCTGGGATGACAAAGCCCTCTGGTTAATCCATGTAAATTTCTTCTTCCAATTCACCATTCAAGAATTCAGTCTTTACATCCATCTAATGTACTACAAGAATAAAAACAGAAGCAAGAGACATTAGCACTCTAATAGAAGTTATTCTAGTTACAGGTGAATAAGTATCAAAGAAATCAACATTCTCCCTTTGTCTGTAGCCTTTAGCTACCAAACGAGCCTTATACTTATCAACGGTCCCATCAACTTTCAGCTTTCTTTTTAGGACCCATTTGCAGCCAATTATTTTGCAACCTGGTGGCAACTCAGTCAGGTGCCAAGTTCGATTAGACTCAAGTGAGTCCATTTCATCATTTGCGGCTTCTTGCCATAAATCTGCATCAACTGAGGCTAAGGCTTCTTGGAGGGTAGAAGGATCCTCCTCTACATTAAGGACTTCAAAGTCTCTAGCCCATTTGCTCCTTCTTAGTTCGGGTTCAGCATTCAAGTCTTGTGACTCCTGACTACAGGAATAATAGAGGAGGACGAACCCCCACTATTTCTAGATTTAAAAGGAAACTTGTCCTCATAAAAATCAGCATCATTAGATTCAATAATTACTCGTGCATTTAAATCAAAGAATCTATATGCTTTACTATTAATAGCATAACCAATGAATACACATTCATAAGCTCTACTAGCTAACTTAACTCTTTTAGGATCAGGAATCCTAACATATGCTAGACAACCCCAAGTTCTAAAATAAGAAATATTAGGTTGTTTATTACGAATTAATTCATAAGGAGAAAACTTACTCTTAGTCTTTGGAAAACGGTTCAAGACATAACAAACAGTGAGAAGAATTTCTCCCCACCAATGATCAGCAACACCAGAATTTAAGGAAATAGCGACTACTAACTCAGTAAAAGTTCTATTTTTCCTTTCATTCATTTCTGGAGAGTAAGGGGCTGACCTTTCATGTATGATACCGTGTGAATTATAAAACTCTACAAAAGCATCAGTATCATACTCAGATCCACGATCACTTCGTAACCTTTTTATTTGCCTGTTGAACTGATTCTCAAACTTTGTCACAAACAGCTTAAACATATCAAAAGCATCACTCTTATTTTTCATCAAATAAACACGAGTATAATCAAAACAGTCATCAATAAACGTGATAAAATATCGTTGTCCATTTCTTGTCAACGTTCCATTAAATTCACAAATATCCGAAGGTACTAAATCTAGCGGTTCTGAGTTCTAATCAGAGACTGATGAGTGGTTTTTGTAATCTTAGCCTGACTACAAAAATCATATTTATCAAAGTCATTGAGAGAAATATTAGGAATAAGGCCTAAATTGCTCATATTTTTTATGAGTCTTTTGTTCACATGACAAAGTCTAGCATGCCAAATATTAACAGAAGAAGACAACATATAAGCAGAATCAGAAATTTTATTAATCTCAACTTTCAGTTTAAACATGCCATCAGTAGCATATCCTTTTCCTACAAACATTCCATTCTTAGTTAAAGTAAATAAATCAGAACCTATGGTTTGTGTAAAACCAGCCTTATTAAGAAGAAAACCAGAAACTAAATTCTTTCTCATTTCCGGAGTGTGCAGTACATCCTTCAAAATGAGAGTCCGAGTCCTGCCAGAAGTAAACTTCAAACTCAACATTACCAATACCAGCAACATTAGTGGAATGGGAATCACCCAACAACACTTTCTTATCATCGGTGTTTTCAAAATACGTTTTAAACATCCGACGATCATAGCAGACATGGCGTGTAGCGCCAGTGTCTACCCACCACCCTTGTAAGGTTGATCTCAGTAACCTCCTGCGCAATTGCAGGGTTAGGCATGTTCCTTTACTTACGTTCCATATGGCCTAAATTTCCACACCTATAGCATAGAAATTGACCAGTACCATTCTTAGGGGGTTGAATCTAATGCTTTCCATTGTTCTATTGAACATTCAATTTATTTTTGTTGAAGTTATTCTCCCGGTTCTGAGGCTTGAAGTTCTTACCAGCAAGCTTGAGAACTGCAGCAGATTGCTTAGGAGCATTGTTTGCAGTGAGCTGTAAAACTTCTTCTTTCTGGTCCTGTTTTCTGGATTCTTCCTCTATACGGAGCCGAGTGATCAAACTCTCTAAGGAAAATTCCTTAGTCTTGTGCCTGAGACTGTTTTTGAAATCTTTCCAAGAAGGAGGCAACTTGTCAATAATAACAGCAATTTGAAATTGTTCATCAAGAGCCATACCTTTGGAAATTATCTCATGAGCAATTTTTTGAAGTTCGTGGGACTGCACTTCCATGGACTAATCATCAGTCATCTGAAATTTCTGACTGCATACTTTTGGCACCGGCTTCTTCGGTGTCATATTTCTTTTGTAGGGCATCCCACAAATCCTTAGCAGTGTTTTCCATATTATAATAGTCATACAGGTTGACAGACCATTAAGAATATAATTCTTGCACATGAAATCAGTTTCATTCCAAGTTTCAATTTCACTATTCCAATACACTAGGTCATCTTGTTCAGCATTATCAGGAATAACAGGCCGAAGGATAGTCAAGGCAGAATGCACTTTCATAACAGTGAGGAAAAATTGCATTTTTTGTTTCCACCTTTTAAATTGGGTGCCTTCAAAACGGAAGGGCTTGTTAAGGTCATTGGACATAGTGACATCTTCGGTAGACATAGTAACTACGACACGCAGTAAAGACTGTTCTAAAAATTGTTGTAAACGGAACTGCTAAATTAAAGAAGGAACGAAGTTACCGGGAATGAGACTGAGTCGCGGACTATGTCGCTCTCTTTAGAACATTCACGGTACTGCCTTTGATTTGTGCAAGCAGCTCTAAAGTAACCGGATGTCCCCCAGGATAAAACAGTCTCTCGTAGCAAAAGGATATACTGATGGATTTGCACAAAACCACCGGACAACTAAACACCGACACTAATATAATTGCTCGAATATTTCTGTAAAACGTTTTATGTAAAATCAGAACAATGTAAAACGTTTTCTGTAAAATGTTTATGTGAGTTGATTTTTGTGTGTATCAAACGGTGAGGGAGAGCCTCAAATTTATAGTGGGTTGTGTAATGTACCTGTACAATTTTAATCAAGTAATTAACACACATAATCAAGGCCTTAATTCACGTTAATTAGTTGTTGCAGAACGGACAAAAATCATTGCAATAACCGTTACGAAACAAATAAAAACAGTAACGGTTAAGAATTGATTATGAAATTAGTTACAAAATCAAGGAATTAATCCTTGTTCAAAAATATAAATCAGTTTAAGAAATCCAACCCAACCCGGCCCGGCCCGGTTCGGCGCGCGTGTGGGTGTTAGATTGGTTTGGAAGGTGAATCCTTCCTCTCCACAAAATGTGGGTAGCCCAAGGGCCACACCCCTTTAGGTGACACACACCTATATAAACCAAGCAACACTCTTATTTCCCACAATGTGGGACTTTACCATTTTCACAAATTCACACTTACAACAACTTTGTTCCAACACTAACTAATAAGCACAATAAAAATTGATTAAAATGAAATGCATTTTACAACATTTTGGCTACACAAACGAATTGTACAACAAACTAAAGTGCATTTTAACATCATCTTAAGGCCAAATCAGAAACAAAATCAAAGACATTTTACTTAGTTGTATTGGTTTACAGAATCAAATGACAACTTTAATTCCTATTTAAGGGAAACATATAAAGCATTCAAAGTGGACCAATGTGTTAGGGTTTTAAAATATTCTGAATATCCAACAAGTTATTTTCTGACGAACAACAATTTTCGAAACATCATAAAGTAGAAAGCCCAATTGGACTAAGTGAAATACATAAATCGTTAATCATCAAATTAGGGTCAAAATCACTAATTTTCTCAGAATTCCCAATTTATTTGCAAATTTAAATTTGAATTGAACACAAATGAATGTAGTTTTCAAATGAGGATACTACTACAGGTGGTAATAAAGTAATTGCATGAAATACTATCTTAAAATTGAGTAAAACACTTACGAGTTTGCAAAAGAATCCATGGTATTTGTGTATAAGCGCACTTGCCGTAACTAAGTTTGAATAATTAATTTTTTTTTTAGCAAATGGTAAGTTTGATTGTTTGAGGAGATTGAAGGGGAAATACTGAGGAGCGGAAATATGAAACGTTGAATTTTAGAAGAAATGAAACTAA